AAAAGAGAGAGATGAGAGACTGATCGAGCTACACAGAGAAAAATAAATACAATAAATAAATAAATAAATAATGCACGACTGACTGACGTCAGCTGACGTCAGTCGTAGACTGTGATTGGCTAGTGGCTCTACAGCGATTCTACAGGGTACTACGGATCGGGTCGATGTCGGCACGACGGTCCTGCTGTACTTTCTGTACCAATCGTTTGAGGTTTGCGAACTACCGTGGTTGCTAACCTGCAGCTGGTTGCCCTGTGACATTCCCTCGATGCCCGTGGCTCTCCAGCTACAGCAGCTGCTCGCCTGCTGGCTACGGTACCAGGGTAGCGTGTGGTAGTCTATATATTGCTATTGGTGGTCTTTCTTCTGTGCTCGATATCGGTTCTTCTGTGTCTAGTGTCTTGAAAGAGAATCCTTCATGCCAGAGTTCTGGTTGCCGAACTCATCCCACCAGCTCCGTTTATGTGAATCGAATCACATGTGAATCCAATTCCAATAGCGTGCCTGTGTGGCTTGACACGAGGACCCATTGATGCGGTTGCATCGAGAAGCGGTAGTAGTACAATGGCAGTCCCTTGAGCGTGCCTTCGGCGTGTTTCCTTTTCTCTAGCTAGCCAGCTAGAGGCTTTAGGAACCGACCCAGTTTTCTGCTGCCTTTGAATGCCAACAACTAAGACATGCCTTACCATAAGACACGGTTGCCACTTTCAACAGCTTTTCAACAAAGCTTTTGTCAACAGTCACCAGTCAACACTGTCAACACCACTGTTGTACTGGTTCCGATAATAGCTTCTTTCTTGTTGCGCTGCGGATGTTGTGTGGCATCACTTCCCTTTGCGGAACATCAACGGGAACGACATGCCACGGATTGTTGCCAATGCGAAGCTGGCCATTTCCCAGTGTACCTGTTGGTCCCGTTAGAACAGTTTGATACCAGCTTTGTGGTGGAGCCAACGAGAATACGGTAGGCCCTTGAGGGCACAAGTAGGATTCGTGCTAACAATCCAGCAATCCAGCCACTTGGAACTGTGTCACTGATTTGGTCAAAAAGAGAGTTAACTTACTGTAAAGGCCTAGCTAGCTAGCTTGCGGTTCTGGAGAAAACAATAATAGCCACATTGGTTGGTTGCCATTTCCCGTCATGCTAGCTTTCTATTTCCTTTATTATCTATTAATACTCTGCGCCAATTTAATAAGCTCAATAGCTGCTGAATTGACTTATAATACTAGTAAACATTATTGACTCTTTTATCTATTTTAATTAATCTGGATCAAGGATGGCTGAATTATACTCTCTGTGGAGTCATTCTGTTTTCATGTCTGCGAGAGAGTATTGTATTGTGTAAGATGGGCATTGCGTCGGAGTTGTTGACAATCCGAAAGGACTTATGAAACAGCGACGCTGGAAGTTCGAAGAGCCACACCACGACTTGCCAAAAGTACAAAAGTACAAAAGCACTTTGAAAGCGGCCAGGAGGGTGCACGGCGAAGAAGCCAAGGAGCGTAGATACCCTTGCCACCTGCCATTTCATAATCTATCATCATCTGCTGGCTGCTGGTAGCTGTGTATCTGGTTGATAATGGCACCCAACATTCATCTACACAACGATTTAGAAGTCCTTAGGAACAACGAGGAGGAAGTATCCGCGCCATTCTTAATGCCAGCTATGGAGACGTCGTCGTCCGCTGTTCCCATGGAAGGCGAGCCGCTTCAGGAACAGACAGAGGAAGCCTTTGTGGACGCTAGCGAGACAGCAGAGGAAGATGGAGAAGGAGAAGAGTTCTACTTTAGCGACTGCGAAGAAGACGTAGACGATGAGTATGGGGATGAGGAAGGGACGAGCGATGCGGTGTTATCCGGTCCTTCGGGTCCCGAACGCATGAAGCTGACCGAGCAAGAACGAGATTGGGCCGTTGCTATCAAGGAGGCCATTGAGGGGACTGCCGAAGTGGATAATCTGACCGATTTCATGTACGTCCAGTTGGCCATGAAGCACCAAGATGATATCGAAAAGGCCGTGGAGAGTGCTTATACCCTACAATGTACACGAGAAGAATATAAGCTACGAGATACCCTAGACGAGGGACGCATAATCTGCCAAAAAATGATAGATCTCATGCCAGGCGTCAACCTCGACTTTCACTATTCTCCGGCGGATGGTTGCTTCATCATGGTCTCCGATTTATCTAAATTTGTGGTGACCAACCTCAAGAGCCCTCAGAACACCCGGATTTGGATGGGCAACTGTCTGTACAACGCTCATGCCATGGCACCGGACTTTGCCGCCATGAGGAAAGGTTACATGTACCTATTCGAGTGTCAGGGATACGACTGGAAGGTAAGCAAGCTACCTACTTACCTACCTACCTAGTATGGGTATCCTTGCCATTTGCTAACTATTCTAACATTCCTATGCACCTTTCTCTCTTTTGCTATTCCCCAGAAAAACCTGCTTGATCTGAAGACTGCCGAAAAGTACTGGGCCGAAATAGGATCTGTCTATCCGCTCAACATGCGCAAGTGCAAATGCTTTCATACGCCCACGCTGCTCAACTGTATGGTGTCCATGACCAGAAGATTCGTACCCAAGGAACAGTTTGAAAAGTTCCAGGTCGGCTGCCAATACAATGGAACACTCTCAGACCTATACTATGTACCCAGCCAAAAAGCGGCCGAAGAGCGTCTCGTTGCACGGCAAATCGAATGTCTCCAAAGAAGGTATGCCAACGAAAAGGCGTTCTCTTTGAAAGAGGCAGCCTTGATTGGTAACAGCAATCACAATTGAGGCGTCGTGCTTCCTTCTATACTAGTCCTACTAGCTCTGTTTTAAAAAATATAACTACTAGAGCAAGATTATGGGTTGCACGTATGGTTACCGGTGGGTTGTTTCTGCACGAGAAACGGCGTCAGCAACAAGTCCCTTACGAATGCAACGAACGCAGCCATCCCTCGTGCATTCGATAAGAGTGCGGGATGGATGTGCTCACTCAGGAGCGAAGAAGGATAGTTTTT